CCCCCCCCCGATAAACCAGCACCGTTAAACCTTTGTCTTTGACCGTTATGAATAGAAAAACTTGCAAAATCGCCTAGGATTTCTATTATTTGATTGGAGTATCAACATTTCAAATTATAAAGTTACCATCATTGAGACAGTGTGCAATGATGTCTTTAAAATTCTGCCCCAGGCAACTACTTTCTACAGTAAAAGTCTTCTTTGTCTAAACATAGTCTTGATACAAGCATAGTCCTACATTCTTTTATTAATGTATCTCGGAGAAAAGAAGTCTCCAACTCATTAAGTAAAATATCACTTTGAGAATACAAAGCATTACGAAATACAGGAATGGAAATATCACAGACATAGCATGTTAAGATAAGTATTGCAACAATATGTAAATAATCAATAATTATCACTTTATAAGCATAGCTTGCACAACAACATTGCAGTTGCAGGTTAAGAGATTCTAGGAGAGCAGAAAAGTATATTTAGATAAAGCGTGTAATTTGATCCAAAAAGGTAAATGATAACATTCAATTAGCAGTTTACCTGCCTCACAAAAAAATCAAGGGTCAAATTTGCTTTTTCATATCAAAAGATGTTTAAAGGCTTGGCAAATGATGGTTGCTATATCCAAATGGTACAGAATCTATATTGTGTCCAATATTCACACTGCCATTGCCACACCATGCTCAGTAAGCATCTTACACCCTTCTCATCCTCTAGTTTCTCCATTGATTTGCAAATCTCTTCATCGCCATAAATTTTGGGGTCTTCTTTCTGTTATATTGTTTTTTTATTTCCAAGAGAAAAAAAAAGTTGACAATTTAACTAAAGGATCAAGCCTGCTTGTACTAAAAATTAAAAAGGCTTACAAACATTTTTAACGAAGCAAGACATATAACAAAACCCCCTCAAAAAACAACTTAGAAAAATGCAAATGTATGAGATCTTTTCCTTTCCTTCTAACGATCAGTTGATGACTCCCCAGCTGTGTGATCTTTTAAGTGTATAAGACCTTCACCTGAACCCTGCTGATCACCACTGCTGGCTAAACTTGGTTCGGCCTGTTCAGTGAGTGACCCTTGACCCATCTCATTCCCCTCTAACCTCCCACTCTCTCCACTTTGGTCACCTCCCATTTCATTATCTGCCGCCATCTCTTCTTCTGCAGTCATAACTTCTTCAACTCCCTCGCTGTTCCCAATATTTCCTTCTTGCTCAAGTTCTTGCAGCCCAAGGCCATGCTTATCTGATGGGCCAGCAGTCTCGGCACCAACTCTTCCATCCCCAAAAGTCTCACTAATGAGTGCCTGGTCTCCACGTCCCTCCTCGTTTGACTTGACAGAGCCAGAAGAACCTTGCTCAAACCCAATTTCAGAATCTGGAATGAAACCTGGATTGGTGAAACCTTGGTCCAGTTCAGTATTCAGTTCGGCTTTTCCATCAAGATGTCCACTGACCTCTGGGGTATCTTGTTGTTGATGTGTGCCAGCTACTGGCTCTTGAAGTCCTGGGCCAGTCTCTTCTAAGGCTGATGCCGCTCGCAGTGATGCCAGAGATCCCGATCTGCTCAGGAAGAGCCAAGTAATCATATTATAGAATAAAATGGGGGTTGGGGAGAGGGGGGGAGGGGGGAACTTAACTGCAGTGAGGGAGTACCGAAATTCCCCCCTCCCCTTTCCCTTGCAAAAAAAATACCATGTAATCCCTCACAATAAAAACACAATCCTACACAGTACATATATCCAAATACATAATATATGCATGAAAAAATGTCCCTTCTAACAACACCCCCCTACCTACCGCCACCACCCAACACACACACTCACTCTCATACAATCACTCATATATACATTTATAGCTAGTGCGTGATTCAATCGCCTAGGTGCCATGAGACAAATTTTACAAGAGAAAATAAAAACTGTTTTATTTCTTTATGTACGCATCTGTGAATCTGAAATTGCAACAATATGTAAATAATCAATAATTATCACTTTATAAGCATAGCTTGCACAACAACATTGCAGTTGCAGGTTAAGAGATTCTAGCATTATATATATATAATGTAATATGATGTAGGACGATAGTATGTAACCAGTTTTTATTTCTAATCGCTATGTTACATAAGTTACTGCACTTAGGCGTTTGAGGCCTTCCTAAACCTGTGTCATTCAACCGGCTAAGTAACAGTATGGCGTCTGGGCATTTGAATCACGTTAGTCAAAGCCATTCGACAAGCGCCAGTGGTTGCCTGGGCATTTGAGTTATGAACAGAAGCAAATAATAACAGTTTTAGGAGTGACCATGAAGCCTTTTACTCTTTAATTTCACTTCATTATATGTTACGCACACCAAATAAAAAAAACAACCAAGCAAGTAGTATTTTAGATTAGAAAAATAGTCATAGTTGGCTCGAAAGACAAAGTAAATAGATACAAGTAACATGAAATTAATTTATCTTCTTCCAAATTTTTATTGTCCTTATATAAGTAAAGAAATGAATATTTAAAACCAAACAAAGGCATTGTAAATTCTGGTCTTGTTTTTTTTCTCTAAAATTAAAAATAACCTCCTCCTCTTCCCACCCCATCCTCTCGAGCCTTTTAAAACCTTATCAAAATCTTATCGTAGAAGGAAATATTGAAGTAAACTTAACTATTAAAACTGAAATATTCCTGTTATTGATATGTGTCACGACGCGGAGGAATCAGGCGCTCGTCAATTTTTAGACATGTCGAGTTATTGGTATCATCTTAAAGCTTTTTCATTTGTCTTGCTTTCGGTGAGAAATAAACTCATCTATCATGAACAGAAGTCGAGATATTTGCGATTGAAGGAGGTGGGGGTCGCCTGGTTTCAGAGATAAAATTAGCGAGAAAATGACCGCCAAAGTTTGGCAACTTCCAAAGCTTGAGAGTCCTAAGAAACTGCAAATTTACATTTTTGTGCTGTAAATCGCCATTTTTCAGTGAAATTCGCACAGAAATGTGTTTTTAAATGGATCTTAAAGGTGTTGAATAAAAAAAACACAATTTCGCAAAAAATTGCCAAAAGGAGAGAAAAATACCAGTTTCTTCGATTTCATTATTTTGACGAGCCCCTCATTTCACCACGATGCCTCACATATTATAAATTAGTTGGTTCGTTGACCCCTAGTGTCTGAGCTTATCATAGAAAGAATGATGATCTTTGGGAATCACGCTTTTGAGCTTCTGTAGATGTTTGTATTTTGATTGTTGAATATTGAGGCTATCCAAATACAGAGGAGCTGGTGCTTCTGGAGCAGAACTGTTTTGTCCTCTTGGAGTTGGTAAAAAAGCCCATTCATCCTCATACTTTAATTTATTCTGGATGCTTATGTCCGATGTGTATCGAAGACAATGAACGTTTGAAACAATGGGGTCACCTTTGCTGCGGCCAGGTTTGACACTTTTGTACACTCAGGTTTTGGAAAATTCCAGAAAAAAAAGAATGATCCAGAAGTCGAACATCGAAGGGGGATGGATTTTGTCTTGCTTTCCTAGAAACATACAGAAAGTCCCCGTGCACATAGATCAGAGTGTTTTTCAGGGACCTTACGATTAAACTGTGTGTGCTGTCTACTCCCATTTGTGTGTGTATTTATGCTCAACTACTTTGTTTTTTCTTGAACAAAAGCCGCTGATAGCATTCAACAAGGTAGCATTGCCGCTCTGATACGTACAACCATGACTGCATGTAATGAATTTGTCATATTTGTCATTGTGCTCTTCCAAGAAGTTTATGACACAAGAAGAGAATTCATTTGCAGTTAACGCTCCTTCTCCTTTGTGCCAAACGAAACCCTGTACATCTATGGTGACCAAATACAAAATTGTGAAGTTAAGGACATTTAATTAAGTCCTGTAATATAACCCCGATGCTTTCAAGGCCGTCGCTAACAGGACAGCTTCCAAGTCCATGCACACTACACATAACCTTGTCCAATTCACTGGATTTTCTGCAAGCTCTTTGTTGGATTCTTTCTACTGCCTTGCTCTTTTTTTGCTTCAACGTGCTTTCCCATTCTTCTTGACAAAAGTTTCCTTCCCTATGAGAAACACATACATTGCATTGATCCTTTCGGGGTACATGAAACGACAGGTTGCTCTTTTGAAACATCTCCAGGAAGGTTGTCTGGGACAGTGCATTCCGATTTTGCTCTACACATTTTCTTTGATACTCCTTATAAAGGTCTGCAAGGCTTTGAAAGTGTGATTCAAGATAGAGTTTGCCTGTATTCTGTCTGCCGTAATGCGAAGGCATTTTGTTAAGTTAATCAAGAAAATCCTTCACAAAAAATTGTTTGTTGTCTGCTGCTCTCTGGTAAATGACAACCGTGGAGCTCCCATGACCGAGTCATGTGAGTCCTCTTTGCAACAGCTACGAATAAACCACTGTGTGAGGGCGGTTGTATTCAAAAACATTGTTTTGCAAACAGGGAGAATGTCACTGAAGATTCGTTTCAAATGAAACTGAGTCAGACGCCTACTTAGGGAATCTGATGACTCTCTCCTGCGTTTCAAAGAAATTTGACAAATAAGTCCTTTGCTGAACCCCTTTTAGCTGCATGTGTTAGGCCCCATACGTATTCAAACATTGCTTCTCTATCCTCGTGTGTGAATTCCTGACATAATTTTGTTGAAAAAGAGTTGCATGAGCATGGCTCTTTCATTTCATGAGCTGGGATCTCTTTTCCCCTTTGGGAGACAGAAGGATGACCCTTGTTGCGGAGTTCTTTCCTTCTATTTTGTTTCCTCTCTTGTGGGTCTAATCTTTTGCGCTTTGGGGTATTGTGGACTGTTTCTTTATCCCCTATGACATTTCCAACAAAAGCAGCCCCTACTGATTCTTGGAGTTCAGGAATAGCAACAGCAGTAGCTGTACCTGTTTTGCCAGTTGCAACTTCTGTGGGAGGAGTTGTTGGATATTGGGAAGAATAACGTACCACGTTGGAAGTGTACTGGGGTTCTGAATGAGAAGTAACAGGATCGCTTTACTTAACTTATCCATGATTCAAGAATGATACATGGCACACACACAGCAAAAAGCACACACTTTAAGTGAACCAAGATTCGTGTAACGTCTCAATTTAGATAGCTACACCCCAAATACCAAAGTGATATTGACCAATAGGTGTACTCTACTCAAAACTCAATGATCCTTAACTAGCTGTCAATCACAGACAGTTTGAAACTCATTGGTCAGTAGTTTTTGCAACTATTCACTAACTTGGTCAAGTCAGCATAAAAATTTTTCTCTCAAAAACGCAACCCAACCTAGGTGCGAATTGATTAAGCAAGTTCTCTAGATGAAAATTTCATGTCACAGGAAGGTGCCAATATGAGTCGATGTCAAAAACGGTGACACTTTATTTGTTGTTACCATCCTGACAAAGGCCACAGTCGAGTGGGTTGGTCCGCCTACGCGACAGGTGAACACCTTACAAGCCTCCAAATCTGCGAGATTCAACTGCCCATTCACGGCGTGCGAAGCTGGCCCTTTTGCGGTTGAATCACGTACTATTTTCTAACTGGTGGACATGGGCGATTGATTTACTGAAGGATTTAAACACTTTGCAATAATCTTTTAAACTCGGGATTTTAACATAAGATCAGGGGCGGCTCGTGGGGCTAAAAAGTGGGCGTGCACAATTAAGCTATAGCAAGCTGAAGATAGTCAAAGGCATAGTAAATGGATTGTCGCTTTGGTTTCTAGAACTAAATCTGTTTGTTAGCTGAACATCAGTTTCTTCATCCTGCACTGGAACTGAACACTCAAGTTTTAAATTTCACTACTCCACTACGAAACCGTGACTTAAGTATGTCACGTTCATCTCCCTCAGGTTCATGGTCACAGAGTTACTTAAAATAGTGGCAAGACAATGAACCAATCACAATTTACTTGAGCACTCCGCTAAATTGCTCCTGGGATCACATAATTTTGGTATAGAATAGTGTGCAGTCTATCGCGTTTATTTTTAGACTGCCTACTGTGGGCTATGTTTCGTGGGTGCACTTTTGAGATGTGCTGTCTTATTGATAATGTACCCCCAAACTCTCTACGAGCGTCGTCATCGTTTGGGTTATCCCAATGAGCGATTTATAGGTCAGGTTACCGCTGTTGAACATCCTATTATGTTTAGTTAAAGCGCGTGGACTTTGGCATGGCATAGTAGATGTTTTACAGCGTTTTTGACACAGAAATGACAGTTAAGGCGCCAACGACGACCTTGTTTTGAAATAATATTTCACTAGTATAATTGTTTCTGACTTTTTTTATTTTTATGTTTGTGGATGCTTTTCGTAATAGAACATTAAAAACTTTTGAGCGGCACTGCACAACCGTGCTCTATGAACGAACCGTGCCTACATAAGGTGTATCTAAGGTTGTACCACACAAAGCGATAAAAAATGATTTTCGAAAATTTTGTCACTTAGGTGGTTGAATCACGCGGCTAGTGATATATATGTCACGAAGTGATAGAATTGGGTGCTCATCAATTCTAGGGTGTGTGGAGTTATTAGAATCACCTTAAAACTTGTTCATTTTCCTTGCTTTCTGTGAAAAAAAAACCCAATCTATCTTGTGGTTAAAGGAGGTGGAGGTCTCCTGGTTTCGGAGGTAAAATTAGCAAGAAACAGCTTGGGGGTCCTCGAACACTGAAAAACTTGCATTTTTTGTTCTTTAATCAATGTTTTATAGCAGTCGCCTGCTAGTACTTCAACTTGCAGTGCAACTGATTTTTACGTATGTGACCATTTTTCCAACGTTTTAGGGCCTTTTGTCTTCTAGAAGCCACATTCCGATTTCGAAGGTACTCTGTATGTTGATTTTTTTTACTGACTGGAACAAAGTACGAACTGATTTTGAATTTTTGCTTGGGTGGTGGCTGAAGCCTACTCCTATTGGTTTTAGGATCACAAAGGTATCTTTAATGTGTGGAACTTGCACATGGGATCTCTGAGATTTTTCGCCCTTATCTGAGAAGGCTAGGTGCTTGATCTTACCTACCCAAAGATCAGGGTTGTGGCTGAAAGACAGTAGTGAGGGACAGAGGAGATCAGAGAAGGCTGTGGGTGGGGGGAAAAAGAGGAGATGAAAGCAGATGACAGAAAAGAACTAGAGAACAGGAAAGGAAGTGAGAGGAGAAAATTTTAGAGTACAAAATATTTTCGTCGATGTCAGGTTTCAATCCAGGGACCTTTTGAAAGAGAGGCAAATACCAAACCTCTACACCACCAGAGCCCCCACTTTCACCTGTCTAATCCCCTTTCCTTTCGACACAATGTATAAGCGCTCACCTTGATTGTTCGTCTTTCATCATGAGCACAGGAGGAACACGACCCAAAAACACAGCCAGACTCTCCTCTTCCTCACTCTGTGGAAAGGATATATAAAGAATGTGCAGTACTTGTTCACCTTCATCTGTCAACATTAAAAAAAATTCTAGATCATTTATTGATTTGCAAATGTGAATGTAGCTTTGCATGGGACCTCTGCAGGCCAGCAACCAAACAAACATTTAAAAAAAAATAAATCCCGATGCAGTGATGAAAAAGTTTGTTTATTTGGGCTATAAATTAAACACCCCCCTTTGGGTGCACACACAGGATCAGAAAAATATATAATTCACAATAGCCTGGCCTTCAATTTTCTAATTTTTGAGACAGCAACACCATCTTGCCTTCAATGTAAGAATAAATTTCCCCCCAAGACCATCTACACATCTTGATGTGAATCTAGAAAGCTACATCCATCTGATGGACCATATATCATAGGTGTGAGTTCAAGTGTGGTGATGATAACAAGAGATTAACCTTTCTTTACTTTTAAAGAGTAGGCTTTAAATCCCCTATTATTTTTGTGACAGCTAACATAACAGAAAATGAATAGGAACCTTAGTTTGCAATAACCTTTATGAATGGGCTTTTAGATTATGTTGGTCATCAAACTTTTAGACCTGCACGCTAAGACCTGAGAAGATGAAACGTGGGTGGTTGGCGGGTGCTCTGGTGTGGTTTGCTTCTTCTTTCCTATGAGACATCTACCGTCCTTATCTCCCCTTCTTCTTTTTATGTTTGTTACTCTCTTGTAACACCTCTAATCTTCTGGCGCTAATATGACCTTATGCAGTTGCGAGCGCCGTAAAACTCTTACAAAAACAACAAAAACGAAGATCAAACATTATTTATCTAAAATGACTTATAAACTGGGGCAAAGAATAAACATCATCTATCATTAAACAGTACTCCTTTCAAAGCTGCTGCAGGTGATTGAAGGGCGTCTATTTTTTTCTTTCCCTTTGTCTGTTAGATCTATGTTGATTTTTTCTTTACTTTAGCTGTACTAAATTCAAAATTGTTAATTATGACACAGGTATTTCTCAGGGCTCAAATAGTTAATGAGCAGGTCACTCAAAGGGTTAACGAGTTGGTCACTCAAAGGGTTAACGAATTGGTCACTCAAAAGGTTAATGAACTGTTCACTCAAAGGGTTAACAAATTGGTTACTCAAAGGGTTAACGAGTTGGTCACTCAAAGGGTTAGCGAACTGGTCACTCAAAGGGTTAATGAATTGGTCACTCAAAGGGTTAACGAGTTGGTCACTCAAAGGGTTAACGAACTGGTTACTCAAGGGGTTAACGAGTTGGTCACTCAAAGGGTTAATGAGTTAGTCACTCAATAGGTTAACGAGTTGGTTACTCAAAGGGTTAACAAGTTGGTCACTCAAAGGGTTAACGAGTTAGTCACTCAATAGGTTAACGAGTTGGTTACTCAAAGGGTTAATGAGTTGGTCACTCACATCATCCAGCTCCATCAGCTCCAGCGGTCTGTCCACGGTCCCGGACAGGTACAGCGTCTCTGCATCAGGACCAGTCAGAGGCTCGGGGTACAGCTCTTCCCCATACTCCACCTCATCTGTCAAAGGTAGAGCAAAAGTCAGAATAAGAAACGAAAGTAATGTTGAGTCCTACATAATAAAAATAAAAAAAGATAAATTTTTTAAAATTACAGCTAACCCCCCCCCCCCCCCCCCCGGAAAAAAAAACACCAAACAAAAAACCCCTACCCTTCTGAAAAGCTGTATCTGAGTATAAGCCGTCTTCATCAGGAGATGGTTTTATTGTATAAAAGGCAATACGGTAGTCTTCGCCTAAGATCCCAGTGCTCGGGAGAAAGGAAAGGCGGGATCTTAGGCGAACCGGGATCTTAACCGACGATCCCAGGGAAGAATCTATGGGGACCTATGTTAAGGCTTACAATCCGTAAAATGGTCTCCCTCCACCCTAAATTGAACTGACGTGACCCGTAGGTGGGTTTATGACATATGGTGAGCAAAGAGAGGTTAACCTTGATGACCTATCACAGTGCATAGTGCCATGAGGCGTGCCATTTTCACTTATTATCCTATCATGAGTCTCAAGATCTACGCTTAATCAGTTGCCCCTCCCCTTTACCTGTCGAAAATTTGTATCTTTCCATCTCTGACCAAGTCCCCGCCCCCCTCCCCAAACGCCTTTGTCGTTACACACCATTATGTCGTGAACACACCAATTAAAATTCAGTCTGTCTAGAAAATTCGGGCATAGAGACAACTGCTGCAATCAACGCCTACTGCAATGGTCAGGGAAGAGTTCACGGTTCGATGTGATCCCGCCTGGAACGAACGTGTAGGCCCTATCCACCCAGCGAGTGATGTAAGTTTAGGGGGAGAGCTCAGATGTGAGTGCGATGCGTGGGGAAAACAAACACGTCGGTCAGTTCACACCCTGGTGTGATCCCGTCGGGGGCAAACATTGTATCGCTTCATCCAGTTTTACAACGTGTATGTGATCACATTCACGATAGTGGCTGATCTTTGACGCGACGGACAGTTTATTGATCTCAACTTTTCACTCTTGTTTGATCGGCTGTGCCCGCCCGGGTTTTTGTTCCGCAAATTATGATCTGAAATGCGGGATCTTAGCCGAATGTAGACCTTCAGAGTGAATCAGAGCGGGATCTTAGGGGTGACTTTTGTATAGTAAAAATTCTGTTTTCTTAAAACAGCGGGATCTTAAGTGAACCGGGATCGTAAGCGGTGGGATCTTAGGCGGAGACTACTGTAATACCTAGTAAAGTTTTGCTTTTACAGCATCGCTCATGTAGAGAAAAGCAGTAATAATACGTCCTTTATTTACAATCTTTAGCACCAATAATTAGCATAGTTTTAAGAGAAACAAAACTTTACAACAGACAAATAGATGCCCACAATTTCAATTCAAAATTCTATAAAGTAAAGGATGGGTGACAGGAAAATTCAATATAATGTAGCTTTTTTGCAAGCTTCTAAGCAAAGGAATGAATGGAGGACTATGATCACCAATAAAGGCTTTTCAGTTATATGAAATTTTTAATGTGTGTTGCTCTTCCAAGAAACAAACATGATCTTAACAACAAAAATCACGTATGTGATATAATGTAGAGTTTATATGTTTTTGTGATCCAAAGCAGTAAGGAAAATTTGATAAAACAGCTCAAAAGAAAATGTTGAAAAAGGACATACGTCACAAGCTTAAGCATAGAAACAGATTGAAAAGATGTGTAATTAAATAGATTTACAACATACAGTTGTATATATCCTAGAGTGGAGCTGAGTCTAGCTGGCTTTGTTAAAATAAAGCTGTAAATGATTCAACTTAGAGAAAATGTAAAAATCCAACTTACGCTTTGGTTCCACAACATCAGGGGCTTCCTCCCATATGTTGAGCAGAGCTCGTTGTGTCAGAGTGTCTGTCACTGGCTTTTTCCTTGAGCCACTGATAAACATACCTGCAATAGTTGGGCATTAAAATCAGAAAAAGTTGTTTACAATCTTTTTCATTTTGACCTTTGTTAATGCTACGTGTGTGTTCTCCTTTGTCCTTAACCTATTGTCGAATCATTGAAATCATAGTACTTGTAGTCATAGTTTAAAATGTCCACAACTTGTGCTTAAACACATGAACAGAATTATCATTCTTTTAATTAAAATCAGAGGTGAAGAGTCAGAACTAAACTTTTTGCAACCTTGTTTATGCTCCACACTGCTACGTCCGTAAAATATTATTCATTGGTAACTTATGTTCAAAATCCTTTTACATCATAACATACATGTTTAAAGTGTAAAATCTGACTGAGGTCGACAAAGTCATGTCATAATACATCAAAGCAGAGGTGGGGGAAGATGGAGACTTATTCAATATTGTAGCAAGGAGTGTGGCACCAACAGATGAACAAAGCTATGGTGACAGAGACAGGTGATTTTAAAAATATTATTATATTGTTATTGCCTTGGTATCATAGGCTGATCTTTAAAGTCTACAAGAACAATGTAAAATGGGACAGAAATGCCCTCCTTATCATATCACATGAGATTTCAGAAGCCATAAAAGTAAAAAGACAAAGAGGTGACCAGTGTATCTTTATATATGATGACAAACATCTTGACTATCCTGCTAACCCAACACACAGCTTCCTACCTATCATGGACATTTTGAAAAGTAGCCTCTTTCTCACGGGATGAGCCAAAATCAAGTCATAGTCCCTCTGGGCCAGGCGCTGAGCAAAAGCTGGCATCATCTCAACAAAACGAGCAGCGTTCTGACGGATGTTTTCCTTCACAGTTTCTGTAGAAATGACAATGGAGGGAAATTATCTAATAATAGCAAAGTAGATATTGTGAATGAATAAATGCTCAACTCAAACACTTGTAACTAAAACATTAAAATTGATTCTTTGAGCACAGATCTCAATTGCAATGTTTTCTTTGTTTCTGTTAGTCTGTCTCTGTCTATTTCTCAACTAATTAAAAAGAATTGCAATTGAGACACTGATCAAAAAAGCTATTTACAAGGAATGAGTGTTTTTTAAACGATTCTGCTTTCCTTAAGCCCATTTCACTACAGAAATCAGTAAAAAAAAAATATGGAAGGTAAACATCTTCAAGCTTTTTCCAGAAAAAGTAAACCTCTTTTAATGTCAACACTATCACAAATACAAGAGTGCGTAAACCTCCAAGTAATGTGTTGACAGTTTTGATCTCTAGCATGATGGCTGATTTATTTAATCTCTGTTTGGGTTCGTATTCCATTTTTTTAGAAACATTTCAACTCCTCCACAAATACAGTCAAACCTGCGTAAGACGGCTACCCATTTTCAAGGAGAAAAGTGGCCGTATAAGACAGGTGGCTGTCTTATGCAGGACTGATCAAGATGAATAAAACAAACCCTTCCTCTCTGAGGTCGCCGCATTGTTGTTGTTATAGTTATCGTTGTTGTTCCTTCGCTGGGTTTTTTTTTCTTCTTTTTTTATTTTGTTGCTGCTTTTGTGCAAGGGTGACAATAACACGAAGTGTGTCAGACAAGGAGGACCGAGTGCTATGGTAAAACAAACATATGGGTCGTCACCACTCGGAGAACAAGCGACACTTCTGTCACAAGTTCATGTTGACGTCGATTGTTACTTTGTTACAGACTGGGTAAACAGTGACCACTCATCTCACTTACGATTTGTGTATGAGTTCTGGGCGAGGCTTATGGGTTATGAGGCTTACCTCACCAGCAGCTGAAAATTTGTTACCTATTGGTCAACAGCGGGAGGGGGCCTTCGCAACATGATCGGTTGGAAGGACAACCTAACAACAACAACAGGTGATTGGATTATGATGGCTCGCCCACAATGTCAGGGGTCAATGTGATTTATGACAAAACGTAATGGAGTCAGTAAGGTGGCTGTCTAAGACAGGGGTTATTGTTTGGTGTGATAAGATTGTGTGTTAAAACATGATGGCTGTGGCCACATTGGACAGGTGCCCGTTTTACACAGTTAAATTATATAGAAAAAACGCAAGGGGGGAAATGGAAAGTGGCCGTTCGTACAGGTGGCTGTCTTATAGAGGTAGCCGTCATGGCAGGTTTGACTGTAAGCTTTATTTCCAATTTAAATTACATTCTACTCTCTGAAAATGTACAGGTTTATGGCCTTTACTTGCTTGGATTGCTTTTCTAAAGCATTTTCAAACATAATCTGGAAAAATAATATATTTCCCCTGGCCTGACACCACAGGCTATTTGTTAGCAACACTTGGGAGAGTTAACAGTGCCAAATTGGAAGAAATGTGAAACTGATCTTAATAAAATACAAGACACAATTTATAGAAAGTGAGAGGCTGAAATTCGTACCTGCGAACAAGGAAACAGGCTCAAGTCGTCGGAACACATCAGTCATGTCATCTAGAAGCTGCAGTAGAGTGGTGTGAAGACTGTCTCCTGTTTTCTCTGCCTCGCGACAGAATGCGTTGATGATCTCAATCTGGCGAGCTAGCTGATGTACAGGGGCAAACACTGTAGGTGCCCTAATGCATGAATCTGAATGGAAAAGACAAAAAGGGAAGACAATAAATTAAATTATCAATACAGAGAGGAATCAGGCACTACAATTAAAATTCATAGAAAAAAGAATATCTTCCCATAGCAGCTTTGATACCAAAGATAATAATGTCTTGTTTTAAGATAATGTAGCAGTCTCCACATTGTGATATCACGTGCAAACTGTCATGTTTCGAAAACAGAAACATTTTGTGAAACTTGAACCAGTTTTTCTGTTCTGCTCTCCACTGAAACTCAATAAACATTTTTTTAAAATGTACTGGGTTCTATTTTTTGTTAAACCTAAAAGAATGAAGGTGGACCTGTATAAATTCTTAGCAGAGTCTTTTTTAGCCAACTATATTATGCAGACTACAACTTGGTACTAATTTTTCTCAATTGAATCCATAACGTCTTACAATCGAGATCAGATTTGTAACATTAGAATGTGACATTGTCGATTCTTTTTTCATTAAAATAGTTCTAAATCAATAATAAGTGCATTACGTACTGTGATCCCTGAGAATATATAATTTCCCCACAGTCTTGATGTCTCAGGTGCACTTTATGTATCTTAATCGATTTTTCTTTTTTCAAGGGTCAAGTTCAAGTGTAAAGTTCATCATAAACTTACCCAGGACAGCTCTGCCTCTGAGAACTGCAGCCATGAACTTGTATGTCTCCATCCCTTCCACCTCATATCCGTATGACGTGAGTATAGGCCAGAGAGGGTCATTAGGATAGCAAGTACGGCAGCAACAGTGTCTTGAAATCATGTACACAATCCAGCTAATCAATGTCAGCACCATGATTATGTTTATGCCAATCAGTATCCAGTAGCTGTAAGGCTCAACCAACCAAGGGCTCTCGACTGTTGCAGGAGTCACTGACGCTATGACAGCTCCAAAGACTGCATCTCCAGCAAGGCATCCGAGGGACAGACCTAAAGCCACATTGAAACTCATCACCCTGAAAGGGCGTACCAGAGGAACTGACAGAGCATACAGGCATAAAATCACAGCCAGGGCCACAGATTGGTTGTAGATTGATGTGTAAGCCGCAGAAAATATTATCAAGATAATCAGTTTCGCAAGCACAACCACTGGCCTGTAAAATGCTGCTGGTAGGCGGAAAGAAGAAAATAGGTTGAAACCTTGGACTGCCCAAACAACATCTAGCCCAGCCATGTACTCCACTTCCTTCAGTTTCATGTAGTTCTCGTGATGTGCAGTGGATGCTGCCAATTTCTGACTTCTGATTCTGTAGACCATCCAGGCTGGTATCACGCCAAACACAGCAATGATTCCAAAGACAGCCGGAATAAAGTAGGCCCAGTACAAACCCTCATGACACGTGATGTCATCAAAAACAGCCATTTTCCCATTTCCAGCGCAGTGAAACAATCTGAACATGACTGTTCCTACAGGTAGTGTTAAGATTTGAGCCATTATTAGAAAGACCCTTTCCATCTTGGCTTTGTGCACCATCAGATATGGGGGCTGACGTCGCTGAAGGATAAGAAAAACAGTGAGAAAAATTGCGGCTGAAACCAGAACAAAGAGTCCCCATGCAAGCAGTATATAGTTGTAACTCACTGGAATTTTACTACTCAAGGTTTCAGCTGCTTGCAGTTGTTTGTATGCTCCACTCTGAACTTTGACAAAGTCCCAAGCATCCAGATTGAAGATGAGAATGAAGTTGACATATTTTATCCATGTCTCTGGCCACGCCCATCGCAAAGACATAGACTGAATTAGAGCCAACAGCTGAAGCATCTCCAGTATAAGAATGAATGTGTCACTGACAATCAGAGAGGTTGTTCTTCTGGAAATGCGTCTCTGGCTTACTCTGTCCATCCCATAAGTTGTTTCTTTTTTAAAGTGAGTTTGGAGGCTTTCTTCCATTTTCACAGTTTGATCTGAAGCCAAAAAAGGCTCTGCCTCTCGCAAGTGTAAAACTGGCATTTTGCTGAGTTGAGATTTTCTTCACTTGTCTAAATTACGTGTTTCTGGAAAGACAAAATGAAACCATATTTGCAAAGATAAGCTGACACAAAGGATTGTCGTTGGAAAGAAAAATACACTCAGCATGAAATTTTGGAAAGATTGTCTTTCAAAACTGTGTAACAAAATTCTGCCTTTTGCAACTTCCAGGATCATAAATTACTAGTCAAGAGAAGACAGTAATTTCGTTGTTCACCTTCATACGATTTCTCATGATGAAATACAAATTTAAAGAAATTTCAGGTTTTGTTTATCAAAACTTAGGAACTTTTAAGAAATGATATTTTTAGGTAGAATGCAAAGACTTCTCAAGTTCTCCTGAAACTGACATAAAACAAATATATCCATAACTCGTCCATGACTTAAGCTTCACATGGTTTCTTCGAGCCGAAACTTTTACTCATGAATTAAATTTACATTCCCAATTACATAAACAATCTTTAATCTGTCACCTTACTTTTGTGATCTCTTTTAAATTTTCACTTTAAAAAATTCCATTGTCACTTAAACTTATCTTCCTGTTATCAGAACAATTAAAAAGGGGCATTAATGTTGGTCTATAACACCAAATAAGAAAATAAATAAAGCAGGTAGTGAATAATTTGCCATGAAAGTTTTTTCTCAAGCATAATGTAACCAGTATCATCAGTGAAAGAAGACAGTCTTGTATTGATGCAATAATAGGTTGCAGAAGTGTTATGACTACAATTACACTCAGCCCTCAGCGACTGTTTAAAACTTCATCATTAATCAACCTCTTTGAAAACAATAAGAAAAAATATATGTAAATAGGGAAGCTGCATGGTCTGCTGGTACATTTGTTTTTGTTTTAACAAAAAGAGGGAGGACTTTCCTAACGAGCGACCACTATGAGACAGAGCAGAATTGAGGGCTAAGGGTAGGGGTAGATCTATAGGGGTAGGGGTAGGGTAGGGTTAGGGTTAGGGTTTGGGTTAGGCCACTTCTTTATTGTGTTTGATAGGGTGGTCGCTCGTTACGGAAGTCCTTCCCAAAAAGAACATGTTTTGAAAATTTTAGAAAATAAAAAAATCAGGCTTAGAGATCTTGCCCACTCAACAAAATTGGGGCAGAACGGAGCACACGACAAGTAAGCTACGGGTCTAGATCTACGGGATGAAGTCAATTACTGACGGTTCTTTAATCGTGCTGCTACTTTTCTCAACAAAGGAAATAAACGATTCATTTTACGGTGTAAATATACCTACCCAGGAAGATTCTGTTTCAGAAGTAATGTTTTTCAGAGTGAGGGCTATAACTCGAGTTCCGTGTTTACTAATAGTTGGTCCGCCATGATTAGTCCGCCATCTTGTTTACAAACGGTAACGAGATCGCCGGGACAACACGTTTTCCCCCCCAAAAATCCAGTTTTTTTTTCTCAAAACTCATATACAATAAAGCTGGAAATTTGTATAATGATTTGAATCCAGTCAAAGATTGAGGATATTTTTATCTGCCCAAGTACAATGTACGTAATTGATAAAAGGATCGTTGATAAAATACACTGAATTCTTCGGATTATAATTGATTCGTATTTTTATTTTCTTGACGGCTCGAAGATAAAATATTACTGGTGGAGACGAGACTATTAAAAAAAAAATATATAATACTGTAAAAGTTCAACGTTTCGCCCCATGGGCTTCGTCAGAAAAATGGAAAAAATAATAATGGCTACACTATTGATTCGTATTTTTTAGATGACCCCCCCCCCCTCTCTCTCTCTCTCTCTACCCGTATGCGTGTGTGTGTGTGTGTGTGTGTGTGTGTGTGTGTGCGTGCGTGCGTGTGTGTGTGTGTGCGTGCGTGCGTGTGTGCGTGCGTGTGTGTGTGTGTGTGTGTGTGTGTGTGTGTGTGTGTGTGGTGTGCTGTGTGTGTGTGTTATGTTGTGTATGTGTTGTGTGTGTGTGCGCGCGCGCACGTGTATGTCTGGATTTTATGTGTCCCTTGCCAATTCAACTAGTTCTTCTTTTTTAGTATTGATCCGCCAGGTGCCGATTGTCTGTAAGTAAGAAGAATTTTTATTTTCAGCCCAAACCACAGAATTCTACATCTGTGGCCCAAACATGGTTACCTCGGAGGCTCGATTAATTCTGACTTCTTTAACAGTACAAAAGTACACAGGTCGCGCAAACAACAGGTGTGTGCATGTGATACACTCTTAACCAGGATGTTACACTTAAGTATGTTGTCTAGATATTATTATGTCGTCTAAGATCACCATTCCCGCACAAATGGAGATTTTTCGTCTGGTGCCTTAATCGTCGCCACGATACGAAGACCCGCCCAGGAAGAAACAATTTGCTTTTTACCATAATATATTAAAGATCTTGCTACATTAGTATTGTGAACTGAATACGCTGAAGGTAAATTCTAGATTCCTATCAAAATATATATGTCATTCTCAGACATGCGCTCCTTTGTTGCTCTTTATATTTACGAGGGGCATACCAAAAGTTTTTTACCTGACCATGAAGGAATAAAGGTAGAAAGCTGAAATTTGGTACTGAGCTTAGTCTTTCTCTGTAGTGGCCTCCCACAGTTACAGATGTTTGTCATCGATGTATGACCTTGAATGACCTAGAGAACAGAACTCCACGCTCTATACTATGTCAGGAAACCAGCCCTCTACCGCTTCTTTGACCTCATCATCACTTTCAAAATGCTTTCCTTTTTAATCCCTTTTCAGTTTGGGGAATTTTAAAAAGTCAGACGAGACTAAATCTGGAGAATAGGATGGATGGGGCAAAATTTCATAGCCATTTTCTCGCGCAGTTTCTGCAGCTTTTTAAAACAGTTTGTGCTGGCGCATTGTCGTGAAACAGCAAAATGTCTTTCCCATCTTTCCTCTGCGTTTTTCTTTTATAGCCTCTTGTATTTTTTTTTAGCTGGTTAGAATAATGGTCTTCGGTGATCGTATCCATTTTCAACATAGTCTGTCATAATCACTCCTTCTCGCCCCCCCCCCCCAAACAAAACACAAAACAACAACAACACCAAAACAACAACTGATTGCATCACTTTTCTTCTTGATGGCTGCACCTTTGCCTTCTTTGGTGTTGGAGACGGGGCGATTTCCACTGCGTTGATGCAGACTTTGACGCATGATCGTAGTCGTAGTGGTGGACTCATGTCTCATCTATGGTTACAAGTCTTTAAAAAAAATTAATTTAATTCTTTACATGATACAGACCGAGCAGTTCTTAACAATAATCCACACGTTGCACTTTTTGAGGAGGAGCCGACAAACGTGGGAGCCATCTCGCAGAAACCTTGGTCATATTCAAATGTTCGTTAAAGATTCGTTCAACTGATCCAAAGCAAAGCCTAGTTTCTTTGCTCATAAGTTCGACTGTCACCCGCCTATCAGACAACACAAGTTTCTTGATTTTCAACACATTCTCTTCTGTTGCTGCTGTCTGTCACTGGGCGACAATCACGGCGGCCATCTTCAACACCAAGATGTCATCACAGCATATAGGCAATCCGTTCCATATGCGGCATGTTTCTTCGGAAAAATATCCTGTTGTTGCTTGCCTTGCAAGGACAAAAACTTCATTGCTGCCCTGTGCTCAATTTTCTCCCTTTTTAAGTTGAAACTAGAGAACAACATACCCCCATTCACTTACAGTGCGCTGGTGTTAAAACCAGTAATCGAAAATTCCCCAAAATTTGACATGCATTCTAGGATGATACTTGTTGGCTTTCACCCCAAATTTAAGTTTTCTACCTTTATTCCTTCATAGTCAGGTAAAAAATATTGTTGGTATGCCCCTCGTAGTAGATTTGAGTTGCGTGAATGCCAAACAGTATGCTTGCGTTTTCACTACCGGTACCCACAACAATCCCATGAACTTAAAGTTAAAGACCTACTGCCGTCTTAATTACTCATTGCATCATTTGGGGGTGGGGTGGGGGACATCTACACATTATATATATATATATATATATATATATATATATATATACATACATGTATTTGTTATAGCTAAAGCAAAATGAAACATTCCGTGACCGTGGAGCTTGGAGATTGTGTTCTTCAGTTTTTTTGTTCTAGTAGAGGATTTACGCCGCTCGCAACTGCATAACATAAAGTCATATGAGCGCCAAGGGGTGGATGTCAACAGGGAAGCCCTTACTGGCCTTACACAGGGAATCAGACTTGCTCTGCTCATCTCTCTAGCTTCAACAGCACAAAGTCTGCTTCGACTATCAAGGCACCCGGAAATAGCGGGTCACAAGAGTGTTTTTTTGTTGCCATATATGAGGGCCAGGAGAATAGAGGTGTTACAAGTACAAGGGAGTAACAAACATAAAAAAGAAGGAGGGGAGATAAAGACGATAGATGTGTGATAGGAAAGAACGAGAGTGACATAAAGAAGTACAGAAAAATGACGATAATACGGATTGGGAAAGAAACAGCAGCAGTTCCCTGTTGAAGTTCAGGCACAGTTATGAGCATGACATTGAAAAATCAGCCCATTTACAATCACAATTTGTTTGCATGCAAACTGGAATAGATGTCTACATTTCCGTGAACAGAGATATGCTAATATCTGTGCCTAACGTGACGTGACTCAGAGGGGGGAAAGGTGAATCACTGCTTTATGTAAATTAAATATAATTGTACAGTGTAGATCTCCATTAGAATTGTCAGAGGGTGCCGCTGCTCGGTCAAACGTCCCTTTAATAATTTCTCAAAGTCCAGGTTATCGAGTCTTATTTATTATCCTCAGTCATCTTCATCAACTTTCTATAGGCACAATGCACTACACTACTACAGTCATTATTGTGACTCCATATATAAAATCACGAAAAATCTACATTTTCCGGCTGTGCAACAACCCAAACTGTAACAGTGCAAACCCTTGATAGGTTCTGAGTTCTGGGTTATGGCCATTTAGTGTTGGGAAAAAGTAAGACGACAGACAGAAACAACAAAGGGAAAATAAAGAAGTAGGAAACCAGTAGCGTCCTCCGGCTACTCACGCCCCACTGAAGTTCCCAACAAGAATCAATAATGTTTACACTCAGACTCAGAGATGAGAGAAAAAGACAACATGACAAATTCACGGATTCTTGCATAAACAATTTACTTCTCAAGTATGTGGGTCGCGTAGTCTCAAGCAATTACATGAATTCAACAAATTCGCTCATTCAATAAAAAAATAACACCCATCAATTTCACACGCGCAAACAGGCCACACAGACATGAAAACATATATGTCATATACAGTATATTGCAAAATGGAATAAAATACGAACAAAATAAGGAAGCACAGAAACTATTTCTACATTAGAACAAGACGGATAATACCAATGCACACAAGGCAAGGGTCAGGAGCACAGAAAACAGTGACCAAAAAATAGTATGGGGTATCTCTCAAGGCTGACCTGTATATGTATAATTATCACTGACAGGGAGGGAGGGAGGGAGAGAGAGAGAGGAGAGAGAGAGAGAGAGAGAGAGAGAGAGAGAGAGAGAGAGAGAATAGAATGAGCATATAAGAAAGAATGAAAGAGAAAAAGACGTGTGGTAATGACAGTGACAACGAAAAAGGGTAATGCCCAAAATATGAGCTATAGTGAACGAAAACTTTAAAAAAAAAAAAAGAAAAAAAAGTTAGACCTTTAATTGTAGGTCTAATACAAGCAGTGCATGTAATTGCCCTCTTTCAAACACGGCCTAGAAAAACCATGCTGTGACAGTAATATATATTGTAAGCCTTCATTTTGAAGTTAAAAAAAATATATTAAAAAATCTTCTTTGGCTTTGTTTTTGTTTTAAGTTTAAACTACTGCAACCAGAACAGTTACTGAGTTCTCCAGTCACAACACAGTATGGAATATGAAAAAAGTCCTCATAAGAAGAGTAAGTGAGAACAGATAGATCTGGTTTCAGAGTACCATGAAGTTTTACACCTTCAACAGTTAAACTGACAGTTACCAGTCCGCTTTGTAAAAAAAGTTCTTTTTTTTTTCCTGGTGAACTTTAAAATTGAGCGAGGAAGAGTCATCCAAAAGTCTTTTGGTTAATTATGACACCCTGGTTCTAAATTTGATATTGATATTATTTCTAAAATAGACTCTGCGGCTGTCTGACAATAAAATGTTAATTTATAAACTTACTGAAAACTACATCATCTCGTAAAAATTAATATCCAATTCGGAACCAGTGTATCAAAATGAATAAAATTATTCGCAATTGACTCCTTTCCTTGCACAATTTTGAAGATCATACACACAAAAAAAAAAAAAAAGAAGAAAAGAAAAAAGAAGTACTTTTACGATGATTGCTTCATGTCTTGTTATTTTCTTACCACAAAGAGGACGGAAAACTGTCAATTTTATTTGAGTGTGTAATATCCCCTACTTTAATGCAAGGGGTGGGGGAGGAAGAGGAACACAAGCAAAGAATGGAAACTCATGATCAGTGTGGTATCTTTATCATGATGATCTACTCCACGCCTCAGTTTGAGTCATGAGCTACTACAACTTCTTCTATGCACTGAACGTACACCCCTGTGTTATTCGATTTAACGTTCCTATCAACAGAATTTACATCATTAAGGAGGAGGGCTTCTTCGACTCTGCTCGTCAGGGCCAACCCAGGCCGAGAAGGACACAGCATCCCAGCATACTGGAGACATTTGATTTTTTAAAAGACTTAATCAGGAATCAAACTCTCGCCTTCAAGATGCAATTGCCTTACCACTACACTAAAGACACCAGCACACCTCTTTATGCAGTAAGATAAAAAAAAGAAAGAAAAAAAGGAAAGAGAGGCACTTCAGTACCCCAGTGTCTTTAACCCTATAGACCTGACCCCATACTTCACCCATAGCCTTCTATGCACTCTGCAAAATAACATATATATACAGTCGAACCGGCCTTAGCGGAATCTCCACGCTTCCCCCATGATATATTCCTCTATAATTATCAGTGAAAGACGGAAACTTGTCCAAGGCGGAAATGAAAATGAAAAGAAAAGTCCGCTCCCTTCCAAGGGTTTTACCTGTCTAATACGGGGTGCCCACTACGGCTGGGATCGGCCGATCGCCCGACTCGACCGCCTCAAAAACAAACATGTTTGTTTTCAGTTTTAGGCAATCGGCCCGATCCAGCCGTAATGTTCTGCCTGTTCAGTACTGATTTGAAACAAAACTCGCAAGTTTGGTTCCGTCTGCCGGCTCTAAACTTAATGCTATGCTGCCGGGTGAGGAAGGGGGGTACGGGTGCAATTTGAGGTACATGTTACCCTATCTATGTGAGCCCTGAGCGATGAAGATGGCCAGGATGGTGTGGGTGTGAAATCTCACGAGTGCCAGTGAAAGTGTTTCGAGTAGCGATCCAGCACGGAAACTTTCATTTGAAGCCAGAGGTCTGAAATTAATTTGACCAATGCCTGCCTCCCTGATCGTACAGCCAGCCAAGAAAAGAGTTCCTCGAATCGTTGTTACATGGCAGTGAGGGGTGGCATTGGTTGACTGTGTTTATTACACCGATGGGCGGGGCTAAGGGTGAAAGCAAAGAAGATGTTCAAACGTTTCTTTTTTAAATATATAAGTCAGACAGTGGTCCTATGAAATGCAAGCACTGGTGGAAATTGGATAAAAATTAGACTGACGTATGTTGTTATCAGAGAGGTGTGAAGTTTTGACCACTCGTGATTGCTTGCTGACCGGACAAGCGGTCGTTGATCCCACCGGCTGGGCCTTTGACCCCCTCTCCCCCCACTAAATTCCCCTGTCTAAGACGGAATTTTTTCCTTGCTCCCTTGCGATTCCGTCTTAAACAGGTTCGACTGCATATGCCAAGGAGTGCGGTACTGTGAATTTAAAAAAGAGAATCAAAAGGTACTAAGGTGTATGCGTACTGTTGGCTTCATAGGGCCACCACCCCCAAGTGTTGCTACAGTGTAATTGTCAAAATAAAAGAGCTAACAGATTCCTCTGCCTGTCACTATAAGTAACAAGTTTCCCAACATAGGATTTCGGTGGCAGCTGAAACTTTAAAAAGTCAAATTAAATGTACAACAAATATGTGGTTGCAGTGAAAGTCTTAACTCCACCTTTAAATATCTACCAACATAGCATGAACTGCTGTCTATAAATATATTAAACTTTCAGTAGACACAGAACAAAACAGGAAAAACTGGTATCCTCTCTTCCACTTTTGTTTAACTTCAGCAGCACAAAACCTGACCCATTTGCAAACAAACTAACCTGCTGCCTAACTTAAAGCAAATTTATGAGATAAATGTTCAAAAACTCCCCTCCCCTCAACGTACAGTAGCAATACACATTACACTTAGTAAGTACCCGATACTAAAAATAAAAAACCCCCAAACAAATCTTATCTTTGTCTCAGATGGTAGTATCCCATCTTCCAAATAAACAGCCAAGCTTACTAGCTCATTAAGTCACTTTATCAATATATATATGTTTACCAACCCTTTCAACAAATTATATCGCCCTAATGCTATCAACACAGTGGTGACGGAAGCTTTGAAACCTCTACCTTAAAACTTGCCTACCATGAAAAATTGGTTCAACACTAATTTTTCCTTTTTATTTGAGGTTTCTGTTTTGACACAAGATAGGTGTGGTTGCAGTAAACTTACTGACAAGGTCATTAAACACATTAAAAACAAAAAACAAAATGAACAACAAGATGATACTCTCTTCCTCAAATAAAAGTTATGCATTTTCAGGATTCCCATTAACAGGAAACAAAGCAAAACAAAGTCAGTGGAATCTAAATCAGCTGAAACACAAGTTTTCAAGCAGTGAACAAGTAAAAAGTTGCAGTTATTGTGCTGCGAAGTTAAAAAATAACAATTTAACTTTACAGTACAGATCACAACAAATTGAAAAAAAAGAGCGTTTACTTGTCTTTTTTCTCAAGATTCACAAAATATTGTGATACCATGGTATTCAACTGAGCAAAAAAAAAAAAAAAAGTTAAAAAATGACCGACTTTCAAATGAGCAGGATATTCACGAAACCATTGTCAACTGTTAAATAGTTTTGGCTGATCAAATCAGGGTAATAAAACAATGTAGCCATATGGCAGTGGCAAAATGACACCTAGGCAAAAAGCAAGAGCCTCTATACAAAAAATACCTACAATTATGATGATGACTTCCACACATATAATTCATCATAGGAATCACAACATTAATAGACACTGCTTGGCCACAAAAGGAATCATAGCAAAACCAAAAAAATGTAGAAAGAAAAAGTAAATTAAAAAAAAAAATCCAAAAAAAATCACAGCTTTCTTTCATAGCATAGTCATAGAAAACCAAAGTCAGACCAAGATAGTAAGAAAGAGCCTGTACCACTACATCAAATCAGTAGATCTACAATCCAAACACTACTTGAAAGTAAAGTTCTCATCCCACAAACAAATGTCAAACTTAACACTGTTCTTGCTCTCAAGCACTAAGTGAAACGACAGAAACCACACAGTGGTCAATCTACGGTTAAAGTTCTGTGTAGCTGTTAAGAAGAAAGTGAATTACATTGCTAATTAATTGAGGGGATGAAAAGTGAGGGAAGACAAGAGTAAGATAGATGCATGCCAGCCAAGACAGAACAGCCATGCAGTGAATGACAAAGTAAAACGATCTATTACGGACGGGGTGGAAACATACACTGGATCATATTATTAAAGTTAATAAAACTGAAGACAAAAACTAAAGAGCTGAATTTCTCCAGACTAGGTCCAACTTTAATATTCTGACTATTAAAGAGCAAAAATAAGATGAGCAACACCCCCTCACCTCCACTTCATTGTTCAACACCATACACAATTCCTTTCACCTATTAACATCGCCCAAAACTGATAGTACATAGGATAGAGCCACATACACTGCTTTCATTTCCTTCAAAGTGAAAAGAGTTTCGCAGTTTACACATATACATGCACTGTTGAAAAAAAAAATAGTGAGAGGTTGCAGTGCAAAAAATCAAAAGCACACACACTTAAAATAGTTTTGATGAACATTTACACTCAAAATTGAATAAACGCGCAAGGGAAGAGTGCCACAAACATTTTAGGTTCAGAACCAAGTCTTCTTATTGTAATCACTTTGACTTGATGTCCATTAAGCAATACCAAATTTTTGCAATGTTAAAATTTATCAACAAAACCTTGACATGAGCAGGCCAGCAAGCACACATGTAAAAATCAGTATCAGATCTTTCACAAGTCAAATCTATCATCAAACCCTCTTTATCCTCGTATCAAGCGTTGGCAACATATATATATATATATATATATATTGTATACACACACACAGTCGGGCACGGATAACTAAAGCATGTCAGGGATTGGCAAATGTGTCCTACACATCCAATGCTGGCCTCTTCAATTTCATCTCGATTAAAAAAAAAAAAGTAAAGCGTTGAATTGTTTGTTTGACAATGTAACTTATTGTAACCTATACTTGTCAGAGCATGTCATCCACCCCTCATGTGCACTCTAATAACCACCTGTCCATATCTCAAAGTTTAAACAACTGCACAATTCCATACAAACAAAATTCACACACCATATGGCCCAATGAGGCGCCTCACTGTCTGCCTTCGATCATCACACCCCACCATCCAGCAGCACCCACCCTCAGATGACTAGATTCAAAGCAGTTTGAGTGCCTTCCGCACATTAACACAAAGGTAATGTGCAATGATGCCAGCAGTGTGTGTGTGTGAGTGTGTGTGTGGTGTGTCTGTGTGTGTCATGCTGTGTGGGGGTGAGCTTGGTGGGCTCCATACACTCGACAACAATAGGTGTTGTTTTCCTACCATTCATGCAACGTAGTTTGAATTCAAGGCAATTGTGAGCAACAATTTGATCAGGTTTTTCAAGACGAGCTGTTCAACAAATCTGTACGTGTGTTGGAGAAAACAGTGTTGTCAATACAAAGAAAACATAGAGGTTTAAACAGAGAATAGCATATTAGATCAACTATTGTACGAATTTAGTGCGCTCGCATTACCTGAGCCCGACTGTATGTGCGTGTGTGTATATAAATATATTTATCTATATCCACACAGTATAACCTGCTCCAACGACAGCCTGTATTAGACTACCACCTGTACAAACGGCAACTTCCCATTTCCTCCCTAGCATATTTTTTTACATTATAATGACACTGAGTAAGATAGCCACTTTTCTCCTCGACAATGTGTGGCTGTTTAAGATAATTGCAACTGATATATATATATAATATATAGAACGTACTGTTAGTGTCCGATTCGAACTGTGTGTCCACCAAATTAGGTAAAACACTTTTTTTGGTCAAAAATAAAGATAATTTCTCTTTATCATCTTCCAGAACTGCCCAAAAGTATGTGCATCGGTCTATTTACTTCTAATTGTACCGGCACCATTAACTGAAATTACTGCTGGGAAAGACTAATTTCAGACAAAAGAAGTATTTGACCCCATCTGGTGGATACATGGTTAAGAGTCCGACATAGGCGGTACAGTATATATCATCAATGACAGCAAACTCAGCCAGGAGATTGCATGTTATATCAAGGTACAAAGTCTGTTCACAATTCCCCCCTTCAAACACGCACACATGCAAGGAAAGATGAATGGCATCCCGAGCTGAGCACTTTGTCAATTATCAAAATAAGAAGCAAGGCCATCCATAATCACTGTGTGCTCTTCTTCTGAAACAGTGTCACACAAAAACACCGACCTCATCTGGACACATTGAGGCAAAAAGGGGAAGGGAGATTTAAACATGTTATCACATTTCGGTACGTTGGGTACCTTATATTAACGACTACCCCACGCTTTGAAAATGGAATGAAGTGACAGCACTTCAGACGCCGTCAGTTGGATATTTTTTCCCTATCAATGTATGCATGATGACAGCCTCACAAACCCAATCATTTATATTTCACATCCATGTTCATGTCTTCACGAACCAACCCCACAATTTTCTGCATTTTTCCACGCATGTCACAACATCTCCCTTTCCTGTAGTTACATACAATAAATACTAGTAGAAAAAAATTAAGTGAAAAGTAAAATGGTTTCTATGAGGTGGTGACAATAATAGAGTACTAGAGTACTATGTCCACAACACTGTGTAAACATCTGCCTATATGTCATTTCTCTCTCAATTAGCATTGAAACATTTTAAATACTGTTGACAAATTCAGACAAGACACTTTAGTTTTATGAAGTTTGTTAACAAAAGCCAAACTGTCAGATTTTCAACTGAAAATATACTTCTGTCCAGGACAGTAGACATTTTCTCCTCCAGTTATACCAGTTCTGTTTCCACTAGCATTCCACTTGAAAGCTGACGGGAGTGGATCCCAGGGACCCCTCAGAGCAGACAAATCACCTACTCCATTGCCGATGCAAACACCAAAGTATTTTTAAGCCCATGAAAATATGTGACCATAAGGAAAGACTGTAGCATACATTTGGTGAAGAGATAGAAAGCACACCCACCACTGAAGAGATGAACTATGGATTCACAAGACAAAGATGGCAGCATGATGTGATGTTTTTGGCAAATGGTGGTGAATGGTCTCTGGAGCAGCTGTCATTCCATCTTCAGAAGCTCTATGTCGAAAATCAGGGTGGCATTTTTTGGAATAGTAATCAGAGTTAAGGAAAACTTCTGAAGAGTACCAGGGACATTGACATTTAAGGGTTAATTTACATAGATGCCAAAATTTAATGCATTTCACCACACCTCTGAGATAAACATAGAGTCTACTTCTTCAAGTGGAAAATCTGATCAGGCATCATCGGTCATGGTGGACCCCACATATCTCTCCTAAAATGCTCTAAAAAAGTATCCCTAGAGTATCCTTGTCTTTTCCCGTCACCAACTCGTTCTATAGTTGACTATGGATGAGCTGATATCGTCAGGTGAGCGAAAAAAAAAAAAAAAGATAAACTCATCTGGAGTTCACCTAAGCCATTGGGATCTGCAAAGAAGAAGTGCTGGGACCCGAGAAAAAGATGAAAACTTCAGCTCTTCTGAAGAGACAGGGAACTTTAAAAATCTTCAGCTGACCTTTAGGGACCTTACACTATTTTTGCCATGCTGGGTGAAGGAAGAACTTCATAAGCCACCTGGAGTGGATATTCCAGTCTCTCAATAGATTGGTATTTATATTCAACTCAGCATTAGGCATGTAAACCCCCTGACACCAGACATTTAGGGTTCTCCTAAAGATCAGAGTGAAAATCATCTGAGGGTACAAAAAAAAAGATTGATGCTCAAAGTAAGCAACTGCAGGGTTTATTAGAAGTGGAAGAAGAAAACTGACTTCAAAGATAAGCATGCAAAATTGTTTGACCTAGAAAACTTAACAAAGAAACTGATATAGTGAAACAGTTATATTTACACCAACTGTATTCCTTTCTAGGAGGTTTGAATTCGAATTAAGAAAAATATATCAACACGATAACAGCCATTTGATGCTGAGAAAAAGCAAGATAGATAGACAGACAGAGACAACGGAGAGCACAAAAAGAAGTAGATCTACCAGTGGGCTGACCTACCACCAGCCTTATTTCCATTTTCAAAGTAATTGATACTCTGACAGTAAGACAAAGGACACAACCAGTAAACATGTTAAACAAAATGCTTACAAAATTCAATTTAAAAATTACCTGTGTACAAGATCGCAGTATCCTCTACTGGTAATTATTGCATGAAAAGGATATGCACCAGGGTAGCCTCGAGCCCCATAGGCAAAATCTGGGGAGCACACTAATCGCGCTCGCTCCCCCCTGCTCATCTGAGGGATAAAAAAAATATGAGTCTTGGGTCTCACAATCCTTTCCATAGAAACAAAAAATCATTTTTGAAGGTGGGACTTCTAAAAAAATGCAAATCTCTGATATGTGCTTTAGCAGCTTTCCCATTACTTCAGCCAAGCATCTTACCAACTCAACTGACATAAAAATAATAAATAGCATTTGTATAGCGCATACCCCCGCTCAACAGCAAGCCCTATGCGCTTTACACTATATTATTATCCCAGCAGACCATAGAACACTCAGAAACATTCTCAGCTTCCCGGGAAGCATACAGTGCAAGCAGCTGATTAAGCGCTCAAACACTAACAAACTGACAAGATCTTTCCCTGTCAATAGCCGGGTACCCATTACCACCTGGGTGAAGTGAGGAAAATTTGTGTAAAGTGCCTTTCCCAAGGACACAACGTCGGGCCCCTGACGGGATTCGAACCCACGACCTTGCGATTGCGAGTCCGAGAGCCTAACCACTAGGCCATTGACTAAGATCAGACGAAAAAAAAAAAATCATTAAAAAAAAACCCCCAATAAAAACCCAAAAAGGCTCAAGGCCTCCCACAAACTCAAACAGTTCAATATTTCTCACAGACAATGAAATATCCAGAAAACAGAAAGACTTTGACAAAACAAAATAAAGAACTAATCACATACAAATATATGTATAAAGTTTTTCCCTCGGAATAACTAATTTTAAAAAAATGTTACAATGCAACAAAAACCATCTAATTTTTTTTCTTTTCATTTTTAAAACAAAAAGGTCCCATTTTAAATCACACATTAACCCCATAACACTTAGAACAAATGCATTATTGCTACTGCACAACAAAAAAACATACCTTGGAAACACCTTCATCCCACCCTGAAAAAAAATAATTTTCAGTACACCATGGGGTACAAATAAACATGACAACAATAATCAAAATAAGGGAGACATAATAGACTAGTCTAAGCTTTGAACTGTTGGTTGCTTGGTTAATACATTTATGCAAAAGCTGTGTGCTAATAATTAATTACACTTGAGACTTCAGAAGGAGTTTTGATTTCATTTCGAGACAGAGCTTGAAAATGGGTTTTCTTTAACAAACAAAAGATTTAAATAAAAACAAAATAAAGATGAAATTATCACTCGGGTGCAGTTATGTTATTCATAACATTGAAACATTCAATTTCAATATCCAACTTTTACCTGTGAGAACTTTTTTTACTAACAGGTTATGTTTGGTTAACTTAAAAAAACAACAACAAACCATCAGCAGTCAAAAGAATACTATGGAGGGAGAGAGGGAGAATTCAGATTTTTTTTTGGTAAGTGTTTTATGGTGCATAAGGTCATATGACCGCGCCTGGCATATTAACCCTTTCCGTACGTCGTGTTTTACTATCGTGTCCATACGATGTGGGGAACTCTGTGCCACCACTTTCCAAAGAGGAAATTTACTCGTTACTCCGATCCGTATGCTTTGCATAGCAGTCTGTAAAAATGACTTTTTGAGAAATACTGAAAGTTTCAAAGAGATCTTTGTACTAGAAGTATTCTAAAATGTGAAGAATACAACCCAGGGGATACAAAATGACCCCAGGGCGTACGGAGAGGGTTAAACATTTTCAGTTTGGAAGGAATTTTGAATTTTGCCCGTAGGCGGCCGAAAAGGGATCTTTATATTTACACAACTGTATTCCTTTCTAGGAGGTTTCAATTCAAATAAAGAGAAACATATCAACACGCAACTTGCATATGGGACCTCCAAAATTTTTTGCCCTTATCCGAGAGTGCTAGGTATGCGATCTTTCCTACAATAAGATCAGGCGTGTGGCTGAAAATCAGCAGTAAGAAGGAGCAAAGGAGTAGTAGTAGAAAGGCTGCAGAAAGAATTCAGGAGCCCAGAGGAGGCGGTAAAGGGGAGGGGCAGAAAGTGGAGACCAAAGCAGACGACAGAACATGGTTAAAGAGCAGGAAAGTAGGCGAAAGGAAAAAATGTTAAGAGAAGATTTCCCCGTCGCTGTCAGGTTTTGAAGCCAGGACCTTTTGAGTGAGAGGCAAACACCGTAACCTCTAGACCATGAGAACCCGAGATTTCTGAATTAATCTGGATAATTGGCATTTCTATATTCAAGATATACCACTCCCCAAAAACGACATTCTCTGCCCAATGATGTATATCGCTAGCCACGAGATTCAACCGCCTAAGTGAAAATTTTTCGAAAATCACTTTTTGATCCCTTTATGTAGTACAGCCTTTGATACACCTTATGTGGTCGCTTTTAAGCACAAGGGGGCTATCCCGATAAATGCTGTTTTGAGAAAATTGAAGTTAAAGTTTTTGGATCCTTATTCAGTCTCTTTAAAAGACAAGGAGATTTTTCTCTATAACCAAACAAATATACACACCAATGAAACCAAACTTCTATAGGTAGGGCAATGCCCACTTTTGGTGTAGGTCAAGATTTCTGGAAACCCCCAAAATCTGGGTTAGCCTGCTTGTCCTTACATGTTAAAATCCTAGGTTTGAAAGATTACTGCAACGGGTTTCAATACTTCAGTAAATCAGTTGCCTAGATATCACACCAGTCCCCAATTTCCACGTGATTCAATCGCCCAAGTGCCAGTTTTGCAGCCTGGTGGCGAATGGGCGGTTGAATCGCGTAGAAGCAGCGGCTTGTAAAGTTGTTCACCTGTCACATAGGTGGCGCGACCCACACGACTGTGGCCTTTGTCAAAACAGACTGGAGGGTAACATCAAAACAAAGTGCTGCCTTTGCTAGCTTTGACTCAGATCGAACCCTATCGATAGCCAGATGATTTTGTCAACGCAGTTTGTGTAATCTATCTCTAGGTTTGAAAGTCTAAATAAGTGTAGTTGAGAAAGGGCAAGATGGCATCAAAGAATACATTAATACTGACTTTTCCAAGTCGGTAAATAGTGGCAAAAGCTACTGACGAATGAATTTTTTTAAAAAGTATATGATGGACAGCTAATTATTATTATTATAGTAGAGGGTTTTACGGCACTCGCAACTGCATAAGGTCATATGAGCGCCAAGGGGTGGGTGTCAATAGAGAAGTCTTTACAGGGAATCAGACCCACTCTGCCCACCTCTCTAGCTTCAACAGCACAAGGTCTGCTTCAACTATCAAGGCACCCCGGAAATAGTAGATCACAAGAGAGTGATAAACATACAAAACAAGTAGAGGAAAATGACAATAGTAAGGATTAGGAAAGAAAAAGCAGCAGTTCCCTGTTGTAGATCAGACACAGTTATGAGCGTGACATGAATCAGCCCATTTCTACTGCACTTGAACGAGAAATGTCCCCTTTGGGAATGACCTAAAGACACTACAGTCAGTGGCACTGCCCCGGGGGGTGGACAGCTAAGGGGTGCTTATTTCACATTTGGTACAACGGTCGGAAAATATTTTTACAGCGACTTTTTGCGTTTCTTAACTTGCTTTAAGTGTGCGCCCCTTGCTGTGTCTGTCATGTACCATTCTTGAATCATTGATTAGTAAATCAGTGCCGGGTAGATGATACTTAATTTGTCACTCGAAAAAAAAAAGGGCAACTCAAAAAGATATTCACCCTTGAAAATTCTCTCTTCAACAAACCTTCAACTTTAACTCTCCAGCTCTACATTTCAATTTGAAACAAATCTCATACATTCTACTTACATGCAAAACAATAAGTTTGTATACAATTGTCCTCACATAGTGGTTATTCATGACTGTTGCAAAGACAGTTTACATGACTTGGAGATGGGAGCACCACGATTATCAAATTACCAAAGAGTAGAAGAATACAAGCAATTTTGTGATAAGTTAACTACAGATAGAATACTGGTTAAAATCTATCTAGACTAATACTTTCACAGCCCCAGAGTACAAAAGAAAACGAAAAGAGTCACACATTGTCCCAGATGACTTCAGAGAGATATTAAAAAAGAGCAACCTCTTGTTTCGTGTATATCGAAAGGATCAATGAGAATGTGAAGAATGCAGGGAAGAAGAAAGAATCTAACAAGAAGCTTGCACAAAAAACAGTGAATGGGACCAGATTATGATTATGTCAAGTGTGCGTGGACTTGGAAGCAGATTTGTTAGTATGGTTTTGAACACATCTGCCTAACAATATCATAACAGGACCAAATTAGCTGTCTATATTTTTAAAAAGTTGGTAACCAGAGAGGTGAAGTGTTAGGTTTGGCACGAAAGAGAAGGATCATTGAGTCTAATGAATTCTCTTCTTCTGTCAGTAACTTCCTAGAGGGGCCTAATGATAATCCCACATTCATTATATACAGTGATGGCTGTACGTATCAGACCACAACGCTATCTTGTCAAATGCAACCAGTGACATTTGTACCAGATAAAACAAAACTGTTGAACACAAATACCTCGAAAAAGACCTCTAAGTGGACAGCACAGAGAGTGTAATCAAAAGGTCTCTGACAAATGGTACGGTCTATGTGCTCATGGATAATCTTGAATGTTTTTAAGAAAGCAAGACAATACCCCCCCACCCCCTTTTGATGTCTGATTTCTGATTTCTGGACCATTCAGACCTGGCTGAAACAAAAACGACCCCGTTGTCACAAACATTCGTTGTCTTTGATACACACTGAACAAAAACATCATCCAGTACACATTGAACATTAAGATGAATGGTCTTTTTTACGTACTGCATGAGGCCAAAAACAGTCCTGCTCCAGAAGACCCAACCAAATAACTGAAATAATTACTCTTAAAACTATTATGATTTGCTTTTGCCGATTACTCAAATGTCCAAGCGACCATTAGCGCTCGTCGAGTGGCGTTGATTAATGTGATTCAAATGCCAGGACGCCGTCATACTGTAACTAAGGCGGATGAATCGCACAGATTTTGGTAGGTCTAAACCGCCTATGTCCAGTAACTTATGTAAGACAGCTTTAAAAAAAAAAAAGTTAGTTACAGACCATCGTCCTACATAACATCATATCAAATATCTGAATTTCAGATTCATAGGTACGAGCATAAAGAAATAAAACAGTTTTTTTGTATCTCCTGAAAAATTTGTCTCTTGGCCCTTAGACGGTTGAATCATTCGGCTAGCAATGTCACCACTAGCAATATAATATTGAGGAATTTTTCATTCTATCTAAAGAAAAGGAGGGGACCATAGTAAGTTACAATCTCTGACAGCAGTAGAAAAAAAGTTTTAGACCTATACAAAAACAGTCAGGGTCTTAAGATAAAAAAAACACAGAAAACTTTGAGAAATCCTTTTTTCAGGGTTTTTAACAGGTCTTCTTCTTCATTTTTTTTTTTTGGTAAGCGTTTAACGACGCTCGCAACTGCATAAGGTCATATGAACACGTTGGACACATTAAACACTTTCAGTTGGTAGGAAATTTCAAATTTTTCCAGGGTGGCGGCCGAAGTCCACTCTTATCAATTATGGACAACCAAGGGATCTTTAACGCGTGCAATGTACACACGGGACCTCCAAGATTTTTAGCCCTTGTCCGGGGATAGGTGAAGGTCTTTCCTACCATAAGATCAGGGGTGTGGCTGTAAGACAGCAGTAAGAAGGAGCTAATGAGAAGCAGTAGAAAGGCTGCAGAAAGAGTCAGGAGCCCAGAGGAGGGTGCAAAGGAGAAGAGGGGGTGGGGGCAGAAAAAGAAGACGAAAGCAGACAATAGAACATTATTAGAAAGCAGGAAAGGATGTGAAAGGAGACAATTTTAGAGACGAAAATTTTCCATCACTATCCGGATTCCAACCCGGGACCTATTGAATCATGAATGAGAGGGAAACACCTTAACTTCTAGATGACGAGAGCACCCTTGCAGGTCTTTAGTACAATTATAATCATCAGTGATAACAAAAAATAGATACAGAAGTAAGACAAACAATATAATGCTTACCTTTTATCACTTCACCTTTTCCAATTCGAAATTTGAATGGATGTCCCCTATCACGGGAAGAGTCGATCTTCAGTCCATCCACTAAGGATGCTAGGGAAAGTCAATTAAAAAACTTGATCAAAACAACATCCCGAGGGTAGTCAATAATGCATAATTTCTCCTCAACAATATATGCATCACTCTTGATAATAATATCATGTGCGAGTCTTTCCACCACACAATTCCTCTTGCTCTAGCCTTCCAAACCTTTGCTGCGCTGTGATTGATAGAGACGGACAAAATGAAGTTAAAGACAACATGCAAAACGACAAGTCACATGACAACATATCTGTTTGTCCCTGTCAATATCATCAGTCATAAGACGCAGTGTGTTATTATCAGCTACGAAGATCGAAATGCAAAAAAGTGACTTTCCGTGAAATGTTTTTTTTTTCTTTGGATATATTGAACGTTTGATGTCTTCTGTTTCATTAAAGATAAAAATAAACAACTATTATCGACTTGACTATTAATTAAATATTTTATCTTTATTTATTTTGGAGGTGTGTGTGGTTTGTTGTGAGCTGGGGTGATGAGACAAAGGAATTTGGACCTTGCTAGTGTGTAGCTGTGAGGTTATTTTTAGAACCATTACCTCATGCCCCCCTTTGCTTCAATGTTCTCTATTCGCAACTATTTTTAGATTTTGACCCCTTTTCGAGCATGAATGGTCTGAAATATAGACAACTCTAATTGGTAAAACGGAGTAAAAACGGAAACTTCTAGCTCACTCCAAGCTTGTTTGTGTAAACAGTCGACTGTGTGGGCGTGCCCTGCTAGCTGCTATAGTCTGTTGATCTGAGTTTTACACTTGGATTGACTTTAAAAATTCGTTTATATTGTGCTTTAGTGTTTTTAAAAGATTATTCCTCTGGATCTCTCAAAGCGGACTCCTTACCAAGAGGCCAGCGAGGCGGTCTATGTGTGTGTGTGTGTGAATGTGTGTGTGTGTGTGTGAATGTGTGTGTGTGTGTGAATGTGTGTGTTTGTGCTCTTGTGTGTTTATGGTGCTATTGCAAACAAACGTATAATTAGGTAGCGTAAACACGGCACGTAAGCAGACTCGCGGCCTTCCGAGCGTGTGGTTTAGGTAAAATGGGGGTAATTCAGATCTCTGTGTCTTTGCTCTTTTGCTACAAAACACCAAAAGCTGAACACTTTGACAAAATTAAGATTTTCTTCGTTACAACAGAGTAAGTTGTTCATATATATATATATCCAAGTATTTGAAGCTGGAGAATCGCTGCAGAAAGGCAAATTCCTCGCGGTCTAAATGCGAGGTTGGCTGGTTCAAAATTGACGTTCATGCCTTCGAATGCTTTGCAGAAAGATTGATGATTAAATACTGTCTTTTCATTGGTGGAGAACGATACAGCTTTGAGCGTGGTTTTCCGTGGCTATTATTTTTGGCCGCTGGCGTTTGGCTGGAAAACCTCGGAAAAAAAAAAAAAGCGTTTAAGTTTTCAATCATCATTTTTAACGCGAAATGTGTAAAATACCGGCTTAAAAAGGTACCAATAGAAAGAACAGTCCTTTTTCTATTAGCATAAAGTCATCGACTAGGAATTATTTGGCATGAATCCTTCCGCGAAACTACCCGGAAAACTCAGTACACCACAGTTAGAGCCGGCTCGCTTGCCGTGAGGGCTGGTGCGGTGCAGGCCAAGACAACGCTCTGTGTTTTTATTGAAATAACAACAGATCATCGTGTTTGAGGCATTAAAATATTGATTTGTAATGAGCTCACAGTCGTGAAAATAATTAGGCTTCATTTCTTTGTTAAAATGATTGTACTCTGTTAATGTAGAAATGTTTGGTGCACTTGGTACTCTTTTATTATCTGTCAAACATGGGGTTTCAGCCAGTTAGCGACTTCAGCAATATTTGATTATTATGTTAAATTAAAACAGCTACCATTCTCTTAAACATGGACTGAGAAGTAAATATATGGTACCAAAACTCTCAGGAGACATGAGCCTTTTATATGAAACAAATGAATTTGACATACAGCTACTTAGAAAATTTAGTATCTGGTACCTAGCATGCTAATGTTTTGTTGCATTTGACGTGAAGTCCATTCTCGTGAAAATTTTGTTTTGTCCATACGTTTTTTCTCTGAGAATGAATAGTTTTCTACTTCTTCTATATGTTAACTGCTAAATTTCAAGTCTCTATCTCAATTTTAAGACCCCCATTGCAATGGTAACATATTGCTCAACTTAGAAGGATATTGTCTCCTTTTTGTGTTTCCTCACCTCGCACAATTAAAAGTACTGTATTTTCGTCAAATATTGTCAATTTACTTCATTCTTGTTTTAAATTGTAGTGAAAAGGTGATAGTTTTTGAAAATAATACTCAGTTTTGAAATTTACTTCATATGACTGATATTGACCGGCACGGACACATATGAGCTATGGAGCTATAGTAACAGTTGTGATAAAAATCACAATAAAAACTCTATTAATTGATTGAAACAATTCTTAGGAAATTCGCAATTAATTTCACCTTCTGAGCCCTCCCTTGCTCAAGACAGCTGGGAATTTGTTTATGAACAACTGGACAGCAGAGTCAAAGGTACAGGAATGCAGTGCTGTCCCTTTACAAAATAACGTGTATGAAGATGATAATGACACCAGCTTAAAACTCCTGGTTTCCCCATCTAGACTGACCTGTATAGTGTATCACAACCGTTTGTCCTGTTTTAGGATATGTGGCACCTGGAATAGAAAATAAAAGATTTCGTTTTGATTTGTTGAAGTTCATTTCTTGGCAAAAACCAGTATTGTACATACGTCATGATTTCAATTGAAAGGACAACAAGATCGATGAACTTTCTAAAACAACATCAGAATGTGGAAGATAGCCTCAAAAACAAAACACAGCAAGTTGAAAAAGAACATATCAGCTGAGGTTCAACATGCTAGACAATTGTAGTCAAGTCCCCAGAATTACGGAAAAAACAAACTTATATATAAAAGCAGTACAAGTACAAAAGCATACGAACAGACAGTCTTCTGAGAGGGACGCGCGCCTGGAGATCTCAAATGTTCGGTAGGCTGAGGAGTGGACTAAGATAGGGGTAATAAATCATTGTATGACACTGCCTGATTCTAATGATGGCCACATCTGTGCTGGAGGTCTTGATTTTCAACATTAAATTACTCAGAATTTAAAGCATAGCATAAAGTCCCTAATGATCCTGCTAATCTACACAGTGCAAGCTGCAGAAAGTTATAATGTCAAATTCCTATCTAAGTATGATTTGATACATGTTGAGGCTGCAAAGTTTTTTCTTCACGGGGTACAAAAGCAACAATTTACAAGTTCATGATGGGTTCATGTGATGAAGATTGTGATCAACCATGGTCAATAGCCTTTCAAAAGGCTAAAACATGCCTGTCCCATTATAATAGCAGTGTCAGTGTCAGGTCTTTTGTTTGTGTGGAATGCGACAGATAGGCCTAATGACTTGCAAGGTCAAATTTGATGAAGCAAAGCAGAGGCCTGTTTGATATAGTGAGTAGTAGCCTGCGCCATCACCTGACTTGAACTGGTCAAGCATTTGACCAACAGGCATCCGTTTTTAGTATGGTAAACAAAATAAAATAATAAAAAAATAAAGAAAAATAAAAGTAAGTCAAGGTAATAATAAAAATAAAGCAATGGAAAAGATCTCCAGTTGAGGTGACAAAGCACAGCCTGACAAGAGGGATACAAGATATGGTAAGCTTTGTCAGGCACAGATGCTGTACCTAGAGATTCCAGGGATAACACTTGTCAAGTGGTTGCAAAAAAGCTAAAAGAAGGCAATCTTATTCTGATGCATGGCATAAAGAAATATGGTAGCTAAAATTGTGCTGAAAAGGCTTTCATTCAGTTTTCGAGGAGAACAAGTCCAGTCTGGATTTTGAGCAATTTAGTTGGCAGTAGATACCGTGTTCCCCCTTTTGACAGATGCAGCAAAAGTGAAGAGAGAAAAATAAACCACTACACAGTTGTCGTGTTACATACAAAAGCATTGTAGTAACTTAAAGGTCTCTGGGTAAATCACTTGAACCTGGAATGGACAGGATGTCCTCAGACCCTCTTTGAAATCCTGAGAAGATTCAAGATGGCCATTCCACTATGGTAACAGAAGGTAGAGCAACCTTTTGGTAGAACAGCCTTGGAGTAGTTTGAGATCAAGAGTTTATATTATAATTAAAAGAAGGATGCAACCTCCTACAGTTTCAAAAGAGACTTGGACTCATAAAAATAAAAGTATTAAAAGGTCAACAAAAGAACTGTAACACATGACAGAAAATCACATCGAAGAGAGAAGGAAAGACTAAAATGAAAGAGAAGAGTGTAGCACAAGATTACCAGTCGGTATAGTTAGTTGATTTGTTTTAGTAAGAGTTCTACCGCACTAGAAACACAAATTGATAAAAAAAAGTACAAAAGATTAGAGGTGTTACAAGAGACACTAGTCTCTGCCCAAACGCACGCTATACAAAAGCATGCTCCGCTCAAACGCACGCTATCGTCATATGACAGGTTTTTTACTATAGAAGTACAAACACAGGTCACTTTTTCTAAACGCACACTTCAATCCGCGAAACACGTCGACATGCAAAGCTTGGCAAGGGGAAATTTTCGCTCACAGCCTACACAGCTTGCATCATAAGTATAAGACATGCCTAGACAACCGGAAACCTGTATTTGCCGAGACTGGTCCTTAGGCAGAACAGAAAGAGAGTGATGGACAGAGTTTTCACACCCAACTTTCCAGACACATTGGTCTAGGACTGGTTGGGTGATAATGTTGGGGGGGTTGAAATGTCTTCAGATTGGTCAATTGAAATGCGTCTTAGTGAGAAGGTTTCTGACTGGTGTTTGAGTTTGAGTGACTGCACTATTGTATATGTATCAATAACGGCAACCTTGCTGTATACAGGCCCTACTGCATTGTTGTAAGTATTGTGATTGCTGCAATGACAATTTCAGTAAGGCCTCGTTTCAACAGTAATCACCATCACCCATTTTCAGCTTTGGCAAATATATTATAGATCTAGATCTAGAGCCATACGAGTAGAGTAAATCTGGTCTACACTAAAACTAGATTCTAACTCTAGATTCTCTAACTAAACGAAAAAACAACAACATAAACTCATAAATTTGTGTAATTGTAGCACCCTTCACAAATTACAAAAGTAAAGGGCAAGTCGAAACTCTTCCCCCCCCCTCCCCCCCCTTGACAAAATAAAAACAGCTGAGTCTAGCTTTATACTTAGATCTGTTCTAGATCTAGATCTAGATCAGGAAGTCATAGGCCTGGACTTGGAAACAGTCTCGTCCAGGGCAGGTTGATCTGCTCTGCTACGCTGAGCCCGAGGGTCTCTAATTACACCGTGGAGAAGAGGCCATCCTGCCTACTTTTAGATGCAATGTTATTCATTTCACTGTATCTAAAAGAGAAAAGAGCTACACAAAAACGACGTTAAATTATTTACCGTCTCCAGGGCTTATAATCTGTTTTTCCACCCCCATTGGCCGATGAATAAAGGCATCGAGCTGGCCTTGTTGCTGGCAAACCACCACGCACACATACACAACAGACACCCTAACCCGAGTCAACCAGACACTTTCTATTTGCAACAGCTAAGCCAGATGTTTATTGGACGCATGTGTCAACTTTTATACGGAAACTGCATTTATAGAAAAATACAAAATGAAACCTAATTTTTCAAAATTAACAGATATGTTTCAAGTTATACTCACTACACTGATGTAGAATACATAATTATGATAGAAAAAAAAATCCTTTCACGATCAAAGTAAATCGCTGTGGAAATTACGGAGACATCAACAAAAAACCAATCTGGCAATAAAAATTGTGTCTGCCTTCGTTTCCTCGAGATTTTACGTGAAGAGAGATAACTCGTATAAAAGCGAAATAACTGGGGAAAATAAACGAGACTGGGCAGAAAAAAAAATCAATTAAAACGCCAGTGCTACAGCTACAGGAAAATTACGTTAATAGCAACAGCAACAGCTGTAATAATTGTACAGCAGCATCAGCAGCAGTAGCAACACCAACAGGAAGTTGCAGCAGTAAATGTAGCAGAAGCAGCATTAACAGTAGCAGCAGCAGCTGCAGTAGTAGCCTACCGCAATAATAGTAGTAGCAGTAGCAGTAGCAGCAGCAGTAGCCGTACCTAGGAGTAGTAGTAGTAGTAGTAGTAGTAGTAGTAGTAGCAGCAGCAGCAGCAACAGCAGCAGCAGCAGCAGCAACAGCAGAAGCAGTATTGTTGTTGTTGTTGTTGTTGTTGTTGTTGTTGTTGTTGTTGTTGTTGTGTGTGTGTGGTAGCCTATCCGTTCGAAATTTTTGGAGCCCCGAAGAGCGTGCTCTTCGCCAGGGCCACCGCCTCCCTTGGGTAGCGGGTGAGGCAGTCAAACCTCCCTGAATCCTCCCCGAAGAAATGCCACCGCCGGAACTTGTTGTTGTTGTTGATGATGATGATGATGATGGTGATGATGATGATGAGGATGATGATGATGATGCTACACGTTGCTGCTGCTGCTGCTGCTGCTGCGCTAGTACTAGCAGCGCGGTGGAATAGTATCAGTAGTTTTCAATACTGTTCAGAGTTCAGGTATAGTATATCAGATATCCAATCCTGCACCTCATATAAATTTAATGAAGGAATTATGCCTTCATTTTTAAAAAAATAATTTTTTTTCCCCTTATATTTTTATTATGCCTTAACAAAGATATTAAACATAAAATCAACTTAGGTTACATTCCGTACAACAATACGACATGATTCTCACTCCTTAAAGACATTTTTCACTTAGACATCGTGATCCTTGTTGTTTACGTTGAATACCTGTGATATTGAACACCGTCTCTATTTTTTTCCCTTCTAGTTGAGTTCCCATTTGGTGCACCGGCGCACTTGTTCGTAGGCCTACATCCCGGACAAGTGGATCGATGAAACAAATTTTAATGCTAAGGGATGTAACGGGAAAAGTATCCCTAAAAAATATCAAAACTATGATTATATCCCTTGCATGAACAAGTCTTCGCCCTTTGGATGGGGTTCTTATTGTTAGATGCATAATTAATGGAACTACCGGTACCGCGACAGACGATGAATTCAGATTATACTCTTTTCGTATGGAAAGTCTTCCTGTGAGCATGGAGTTAATGAGCTGTAAAGTAACAATTCATTCAAGGTTCTTTTTTTTCCTTTAAAGATATTTAGCGATGCAAAATACAATTTTGTAAACGGCACATTAAGTTAGCGGTGGGGAGGGTGATTGGAAAAGAAAGTGAGCTCAAAGGTCTGGATTCGGAAAAAAACCTTTCCCAAGAAAAGTTGAAAAGGGGCAATTGTTTTGGGTGAAAACAATACAAATCAGCGGTTGCATTGCCACAAGGAGAACAAGGGTAATCGCTAATAATTAACATCTCCGAGGCAGAGAACATTCTACAGACTTCTCGTGGCTCTTGTGGCCTAGAGGTTAAGGTGTTCGACTCTCTTTCAAAGGTCTCGGGTTCGAATCCGAGTAGCGACGGAAACATTTTCTTCTCTAAAATAGTCTCCTTTCACCTTCTTTCCTGCTCTCTAGCAATGTTCTTACTGCTTTCGTCTCCACTTTCTGCCCCCTCCCCTTCACCTCTTTTGCCCCCTCCTCTGGGCTCCTGACTCTTTCTACATCCTTTCTGCTGCCACTCCTTGGCTCCTTCTTACTGTTGTCTTTCAGCCTGATCTTCTGGTAGGAAAGAGCTATACCTAGCCTTCTCGGGCAAGGGCGAAAAATCTCGGAGGTCCCTTGTACAACTTGCGCACGTTAAAGATACCTTGGTGGTCTAAAATCGATAAAAGTAGGCTACGGCCGCCATCCGGGCAAAATTCAAAACTTCCTACCAACTAAAAATGTTTAATGTGTCCCGCGCGCTCAATTTGACCTTCTGCAGTTGCGGGCGGCGTAAAACAAACCCCC